ATACTAGGAAAGAAAGAATGGAACTCTTACCACTACTAATCTAGCCACCAAAGGCTTCGGCCATAGGTTGCCGTTCGCGGTGTTGCCCGTGTTCTCACAACCACAAGAAAATGCGATTATCTGGACGAAATCAGAAATTCTGATTTTCCTAGGCGTCATTCAAGGTGTACCTGGTGCTCACTGCGTACATTGCATACACCCTGGCTATACTGCGAACACGGCGAACACCGCAAACACCGGCAACACGGCGAACACTGCGAACACCGGCAACACGGCGAACACCGGTCTGAGAGGGGATTGGAATCATGAGAAACTCTCTATGCTATCTACGAAAAGAACAGAAAACGATGGTAACATCTGGCGGTTTTGCGTTGCGCATATAGATTTGTACAAATGTTGTAGTTATTGTCATTAAAACCTTTGCTTTGTACTGTGCATCACTCTTGTGAGGGTACACTCCGCATCTTACTTAAGCTTTGCTCCTAGTTGTGTCTGCTAAAGCTCATTTCCAGATTCCGACGCAAGTTAGTGGCAAAAGAAGATCCGGTGAGCTAGCTTTCACGTCAACTTGATCTCTTTCATTGTAGTATGTTTAGGTATCATGGCCGACGAAAATCTGCCTTCAACATCTACTCCAAGGCGCACATACACGGAACTTCGCCCATTGAGGCCCTTGAACAGAGTAAGTTGTAGCATGTTCACAAATTCGGGGTTAGGATGAGAAGGGGGTTGAAGTCGCTTAACAGTTTTAATGCTTGATACAGATACTTTATGAGTATAGAAGGAGGAGGGGAGGGAATGAGTGGGGGAGAGGGAATGTTTCTAGGACTGATGCTTTTAACAACGGGACAATCAGTTTGGCCGTTTGGAAATTCTGATCGCTTATCAGTTTGTCACTTCTTCCAAACTTGTAGCTGGAAGTTGCTACCCGGGGGTAGGCGAGGGTACTGATCACGAAATAGGTAGTGGCTCTTAACAGTTCATCAGTTTTTATCAAAACTTAAAGCCACGGGGCTGGGAGTTGGTATCCAGGGGTAAGTAAGGGAGCTCGTTACGGTTATAAGCTCCCTGGCATCTCATGTCAAAGTTTGGAAGTTTTCCTGCGTACTTACGTTTAGCTCGGTAACCCAACCTTTGAAAAGTTGATAAGCTATAGATTGATATCAAATGATTGGATAAATCTGAGGCCAATTTTTTCATAGGAATACGATGTAGAAAGCCAGTTCGACATGCCCCTCGACTATGCGGAGGAGTGTAGAACTCCATCGCAACCGCTTCAATGTGAGTGAAAATTTCCTTGCGTACTAACGCTGTGAATGCGTTAGTCATTTAGTTGACTCGGAAAGGAACTCACACTCTGCTCGCGCACCACCACAGCAGACACCACCACCTGCGCTCTCTGAGCCGCTAGGTCTGTCAAACGTAACAAACCGCACAGTAGAAAACTGGCAAATTTCTAGAGGCTATAAGAAGCTGCCTTGCGCGCGAAGTGGGAAGTTCCGATTTTTCCGCAGTTATGTATGCAACGCTTGTAAGAGGAGGACCGCTGAATACCGTGTCCATGCAGGTAACATAGCGTTTCCGTGGCGGTGGTCTTCGAAAGTAGAATTTCATAGGAAACTTTGCACCATTGCTTTCGACCGATCAGACAGTTCGACATGGCAGATATTTCTAGTGTGGTGCAAAGTGCGGAGCGCTCGCGATTAGGAAACTTCTACGACACCACCGAAACAAATCGTCTGCTCGTGGAGATAGTGATCGCGAATCGTGTCGAGGCGAGATCCACTACAACTTTTTCAAAAAGAAATGAAAAACATTGGCAATATAGATGAACTTGCATCTGGCAAAAAACAGAGCACTGGAGGATGAGGTGGACAGACTGAAACAGATCCTCAGTGTCAAACGCCCTCTCTCCGATACGTCTAGCGAATTCAAGTAAGAAAATTTGAGAGAAGACCACCTCATTCGCCTTCATCCGCCATTCAAGGCTTTTAGAAACTAACTGTTGCAAAAAATTCGTCAAATCTTATTTGTAGGAAGTCAATTTGAATGAATTTCTAAGAAAGTACGCCCCTCCAAAAAGAGTAAAAAACGACGTTACCAGTGAAGTCATCGACTTTTTGCGAACTCTGTTTAAAGAGGTGCGTACACAACTCTGGATACAAAATGACCATCACGTAACCTCGTAACCTACACTTAGATCTGCGCACCCGATCCTTCTGATTTCTGGAACTACGCGTATCGTGTTTCAAAAGTCGCTCGAAGGACGGATTTAATCAATCTACCCGATTCTATTCTTGATGCGCTTACAGGTGAAGGTAATTTACAGCTGAAAGGGGTTAAGCAACAAAACATTTAGAGTTCATTTTGGATGCTTTGGATTTGAATCACAACGAACTTTTCGGAACGAGGCTGCATTTGCTAAAAAAACTCACAAAACAGGTGCTGTCTATATGTACAATAACCATTTTAGGCGCTGAAATTTTTTTTTAGTTTTTGGCTGTTGTTAGCTGAAACGGAGCAGGGACGTGAAAAAGCTTTCAATTCGCTGCTGGAAAAAAGTCGAGATGGAGCGTGAGCGCAAAAACATGCATTGCTGAAGCGCTGTAAGTCCACCACTTCTACATTACGCCATCGTAAAACGGTAGTTTCTATTTTTAGCGAGTATGTGCGCTACTATCGCCTGCACGAAGGTCGTCTTGTTCCACCGAAGGTGTGTTAGAATCCGCTTTCTCCTATCTCTAGTCACATATATATTCTTTCAGAAATCGAAGGGTGCCCTTGTCGGACTTGGACGCACCGACAAAGAGACAATGAGCACGGAGGCTTGGAAAGCAAACTTAGACGTCAGCAATGAGAACTTAGGCAGTCAGCCGTGAAAACAATATTGTTCCTTTTATCAATGTTGATATCTGAATACTCATCACGTGTTGTTATGTGTTCAATTATTCGATGAAGTTTTTATGTTAAGTGTTAAACAAACATTTCATCGTTAAAAAATATTTAGAATAAATATATAGATGTTCTTTATGGCAATCGCATTAGAAGTGGTCATTAGGTGACCATTTTAGATGGGATTCCGGGGGATAAAGCAAGAAGTTCTCGAGAACTTCAATTAAAGAAGTTCCCGTGAACTACAGTCTTTTGGGAACTTTCCGAGAACTTTGGATGAAGAAGTTTCGGCAAACTACAATCTTAGACGAAGTTCCCGAGAGCTTCAGAGCTGAAGTTCCCAGGAACTTAGAATGGAGTTCCCACGAACTTACAATGGAGTTCCCCAGGTGACCCGCCGAAACTTTCTTCAATGTTCGCCGGAACTTCCCCCCGTTTGTCTGAGCAGTTCTGAATGATGTTATTATAGCCATGCCTCCAATTTTTTGCTTCAAAAATTCATATAACTCCCCTGTCAGAAGTGCTTTGCAGATAATGATAGCAGATTTGGAATCACCGGTCCATGCCTTACAAGATAGTATGTACATTTCATATGAAAAAACCATTTCGACCAAATATGCTTCCCTTGTAAGACGCAGCATGATCTCCCAAAGACAGAAAAACACGCCTCGATTACCAACTAGCAACAATCTCGCACTTTCAATCGTAGTGCACGTCATCTGTCATTCAGTTAGTCAAGATCTTTTATGTGCGGCAGTAGGCGCACATAATGATATGAATGGAGCACTGGGTCATGTTGTTACTGATAGACAAGCATTTATTCTTGGCACTCCGCTTCAGATCTCTGGCTGAAACCATGCACCGATTCAAATATTTTTTTGGCTTGAGCCTCATTCTCTTATGTTAGACCCTGCATTTCACTTAGCAATCATTTCCGCAGTGTTCCTTAATATCCAGAGGGCTGCTTGCCTACCGATTGACTTGTGATGCGATGTCTCGCTGTTATCATCCTTGCTTACTTTTAAGGATTGCAATGAGCCATAACTTGAAGGTAGAGAAGGTTAAGGTCACATGTTTTTAACAGCAACAAAAATATTCTTTCGTAATCAACAGAAATTTCTCCGCTTTTAATTACCTTGCTACATCTCAAGCCAAATACTAAAACATGAACCAAAATCTCTGTGCTACTCTTTTTTCTGTAGAAAAACGAAAATTCCGTAATTCATTCTGCCACAGAATTTCACAATTGCAAAGAAAACCTGTCCATCTCCTGCAAATGCGACTCACACAACTGTCGGAGGACTTGCACAAGGAATTGCTGTTTGATGGCTGACGATTAGACTGATCAAACTGAAGTTCCCGCAGTAATGTACAGTCAGTTCAAATTTTTTGGAATGACGCTCGTAACAGTTTGTAAGCTTTTATGCTTTTGGGCTTCTGCCACTTTTGTGTGCTACAAATTTGGCAATTAGGTTGACAAGTGACCGCGCAGCACTAGTGCGTTCATGTCACTGTGCATCCGTAGATCAAAGTACATAGCAAGGAACTTAAGAAGATAGTGTAGAGTTAAATAGGAAGGAAGTTCTTCTCTGAGATGTTTGTGAGAGCTATGGATGCACATCAGCTTACATGATGTAACTTCCAAAAAACCAACCTTACACAACGACAATTAAGTGCTGAAACTTTTCCTAAAGTTGTTCTTAGTTTTGATACAGTTCCTGAGTTGGACAGTAGCTATCTTTCATTTACTTTCTATTGACCATCACTGCGATGTTACTTCACAAGAAAAAGAACGCAACTAGCAGTATGAAAATTGAATACGTCGCGCTGTCCCATGAACCAGTCATTTGCTTCAAATCATGGCAGTAAAATTTCTCGGTTACATCATCTCGTTGGGACGGATCACTTGTAGTTAAATATATGCTTTTCCTTGCAAGATAGGCATACGTTAAAGCTAGATTTCGTATATTCATATGTAAAGAGATACAAAGACCAAAAAGAAGTAGTTTCTGTAACTTTATGACTTTGAGACGCGAACTCCATTTTTGTCAGCCTTACAGAGTATTAGACATGCAACAAAGCACGGCTGTATACTAAGCCAGAGCTAGTCATTCAAGTGTACTGGGGCGCCAGTAATGTGGCGCCCCAGTACACTTGATTCTGCACAATTTCCAAATGATATAAGTGACACCAGTCAACGCGCTAACGATGATTAACGCGATATCAATGAGATAGTACTGTGCAAAGGAAAGCTGTCTACCATAAGGATCCAAGTTCACCAGACGTCCAAATCTGAAACACGCCATCAGCTGACTATTTTCGAAATGGGGGTTTACCTAGCCGCAAACTCGCAGTGTCGGAGTACGAGTTCCTTCGCACTAACAGGCTGGCTAAGCAGCATTTCTGACAGACGCTTGGCACTTCGAGGGTAGCTAGAAAAAGATTGCGTAAGAGTGAATTTTGCCAAACAGCATCCCTTGGAATGAGATAAGATAATACCGAGGAACGTTGAAAATTGCAAGAAGGCTATCAGCCAGCTTTCTTGGATCTTCGAGATCAAACTTTGATAAGACAATGCATCCTCCGTGCTTTGCAAGCATCCCTGCATTTCGTGGTTGATCGCCGAATAATGGGATCTGATGAAATAATGACGTGTCTTATGAGTCTACAGTCGAACCACATACTAAAATAGCAGGCTTCCCTTGATGCGCTAGTTCTGTAGTGCTCCCAAGTCCTGCATGGGTAACGAAAACGGTGAGACGAGGATCAGCTGGAAGAGGAAAGGTTTGATTCGAATAAAAAAATTTCTTTCGACATCGTCTCATATACTTTCATCGTATAGCAATTTAAAAGCTCAGTTCTCACCAAGAAGCGCATTTTGTGGAAGCCAAGAATCATTCTATAGTAAAGAATGGCAAGGTTTTGCACTTACATGTTGACAAGTTGCGGAATGAGGCGAGTGATTGCCGAGGGTGCGGAGGGTGCAGATTGTCTACAAGGCTAGCGTGTTTTCGTAGGAGTACAGGGGGTGGTAAATATCGACTGTCTTCGAGGAAGGCGTCCAAAAGGGGTGCGGTTCTTGAGTGCAAAAAGGCTATAGTCGGGAAGGGGCCGACACTCTCGTAAGGTTGCTAACAGTATCCCCCCCCCTCTTTCGCAAATTTGTACTCGGATGTATGACTTGGGAACTCGGTGTCTTGCGTAAACATGCTGTAGTAGTTTCTCAACGTTTACGCTTCAACTGTTCACATTCTAATCTTCCTGCTAAAGTTCTTGGCAGCCCGTAATTCGTCAAAGTTCATGGTTGCTCATAATTGGTGAGGACTGATGAGAACAGTTCTTTGTTCTTCTCGAAATAAAAGTTGGTAAACGGCCCGTAGAGCGACTTTTATAGGTCTCTAAGGCTCAAAGGGCAATCATTTCTTACAACTCTGGTCTATTAGCTGTCCATTGGGTAGATCTTTCAATAAATGTAGTTGTTCATAGGACACTTTCTTGATTTGTAGGGGCTCGTAAGGCAGTTCTGTTAATAGTATTGATCGGCATCTGTAAACTTCACGTAGCGAGTTTTTTCTACAAATTATTCAATTATCGTTCCATAAGCTTCGCATATGGCAAAATTATTTCTCAAATGCTGATCTATAAGCGGCCAGAGCATCTCCTAGAACAGTCGGTCTATATGCGGCGCATAGGGTAGTCCCTTTGAAAGTTGCTTTGCATGAACGTGAATATCGTGAGCGATTCATTATTATTTTTTTGTTTGGATACTGGAAAATCACAAATACTTGTTTATAAGGGACTCGCAGAGCGGTTCTTTTTCAAATATTGATCTATGAGCGGCTCTTGAGGCAATTTTTTTCAAGATGTTTTTTATATACCGGTCTGTAAGCGGCGCATAAAGCAGTTCCTTACCAAGATAATGGCCTGCAAGAGGCCCATGGGCATTTTTTCACAAGATATCGGTTTGCAAACACCCCTTCCCCCCCTCCCCCTTCCCCCATAGGGCGGCTTCTTCCAAGCCCATAAGGCAGTTTTTTCCCTCCAAATATCGGTCTGTAGAATCTCATATGGCATTTCTTTTTGAATTTTGGTCTGTAAGAGGCCAGTAAAGCAGTTTTATCACAGAATATCGATTTGTATGGATTTCAAGGGCACTTCCTCGAAATACCGTTGTGTAGGTATCTAATTGTAAGTAGCTGATAGCTCCATTTTCTTCGATCAGAACTTCGGTCTTTGGCTCCATAGAGCACATCATATGTGAGCGCTTCGTACGGCAGTACAGTTTGTAGGGGTTCTAGGGTAATAGAATTTTAGGATATCGGGCTGGTTCCTATAGGACAGCGCCTTCTCATAATTATTGGTCCGTGGGGGAAGGAGGGGGGGGGGGGAGAGAATGGTTGTAAGGTAGCTTTTTCTCAGAATATCGGTCTGTAGGGCGGCCTTAGCGCAGTTTTTTCTCAAGTATGGGTTTGTTGGGGGTCAGGGGAGGGGTTTGTGTACTTTTTGAACCGGTACATAAGCTTCTTATAGGGCAATTATTTTTTTATAAACATCGGTCTATAGGGATTGTAACCTTTCAACACATTGGTCTTTCAGTGGCTCATAGGGCATGTTCTTCCTACAGTTACTGGTCTACAGTGGAGCGTAGGGCTGTTATTTTTTGATGCATTAGTTAGGACGTAAAGATATGTCTTAAGCAGCCTCAGAGCTTCTCTTGTTCTCAAAATATTAGCTTGTGGTATACAAAGAGCGGTTGTTTCTTGAAAATGTAGTCCAAGCGGCTCTTTGGGCATTTTTTAAAGGTTAATTTGAAGATTTTAAGAGTAATTCCTTCTTAAAATATCGGTCTATGCGCGGCCCATAGGGCAACCTCTTCTCGAAGTGAAGGACCGCAAGCGGCTCATAGGCTTCTTTTTCATGTGCAGTTTTTTTTTGAAAAATATCGGTTCGTAGGCAGCCCACAGGGCAGTTACTCTTCAAAGTAAGGATCTGTAAGCGGCCCATAGGGCCCTTCTAATGACTGATCACCGTTCGCGGGCAGTTTCTTTCTTCTGTAAGCAGCCCATACCGCTTCCTCGCAATATTAGTGTGCAGGGGGCGTGGCAGATTTATCCCAGAATGTAATGTAATATCATTTATTGTTGTTCAGAGGACAGTACTTTCTCAGGTTATAACTCTGTAGAAAACCCGTAAGAAAGCTTTTTCTCGTGAAATACCGTTCTGGACAATCGTAGGGCAGCTCTTACGTATGTCGCTCTGTAGGCGGTACGCGGAGCAGGGTTTATTCAAAAAAGTGGTCTGTAAGCGACACGCAGGGAATGAGAACAATGCTTGTTTTTGCTGCCGAAATTTTTCGGACACTAAAGTATGTTTTCAGTTTAGCTGAGGTATTGTAGACTACATCGATGTTCTGAGAATCGACTGCTTGGTGACTCTCAGTGAAGGTTGGTGGAAAAATTTGGCCCAAAGAAAATTTTTAGAAGGGACTCAAAAGATATCGACTATCAACAATGAGATTCTTATATTTAGAGGAGAGTCAAAAGTCATTGATTAATCAGTTTCGTGTTGCCCACAACTGAAAGGTATAAAACGTAGGTGTAATTGTCTTGACAATCATACGGCTAAATTGTATTGCCCCAACCCACTTGCAAGCGGCCCTTAGGGTCGCTAGTCAATGTAAACATTTGGGAGGTGATCCACCAATAATGTCTCTTTTTCCTCATACTTCATAATAAATGTTGTGTCGGGCATGCTTTCAAATATTCTCAGCAATGTTTCTCTGGTCATAGTGATTTTACCTGCTTGCGAAGCAAGCACTAGATCAAATTACTTACTTATATTTATCGGGCATATACATCGCTTTCGCCAGTGAGCCGAAGGATATTAAAACCGAATGGTTACGTTTGTCCAATATGGCATTCCACTTCTAAAGTAACATTTGCGAGCACAAAAACTTCTAATAAGGAAAGCGTCTCTAGTCGAAGTGGCCTTTCTAAACGATTCCTATACCACTTTAAAGAGCATCAAACGCTGATTCCAAATCCGTTTTCACTATCTGCCAAGCGCCCCTGGCCGCCGAGTTATGAGTGTTTTTCGGAGTAAGAAAAAACGCAGAATCTAATGTAAAAACAATAATTACGATTTTCCTGCGCTCAAATGAGCACTGTTCAGTATGAGGGTATTAGACAGAAGGCACTCATCAAAAGAAGTGCTCTGGTAATTAACACCTGCCCGTTTGAGCAGTCTTGGACGACTTTGTTCCAACTGTGCATTCAGTTCTTCGACTAAAAAACGCTCATAACTCAGCTTCCAGAGGCGCTTGGTAGATACGAAAGACAGATTTGGAATCATCCAATGCTCTACAAAGTGACATAGGTGCCATTGGGAAAGGCCACTTCGACTAAAGACGCTTCCTTTGTAAAGCAATAGCCAAGGTTCGGCACAATCTCTTTTTATATCAAAAGCAAAAGAGATATAGATTTCAGAGTCGGGTGCACGGCATCTCTGCTCCCGCGCCGCCGCCTCTCCTAAACCCTACATCTCTTTCGCGAAATTGTTCTCTGATAATCCCACCACGAGCCTGGGTAAGCGGAGCTCATTTGTTGTGAGCGTGCGAAAATGATAAGTGAGCGTGCGAAAATGATAAGAAAGCATGTTTGCTAAAGAGGTGCAGAGAGCAGGCAAGGAGCCGCGCGGGAGCGGAGATTCTGATGCACCGATTCTCTAATTTATAGGCCCTGTACATGTACAGGGTGTCCCAAAAAGATGTGCACACTGTTTGATCGTTAATATCTCTCCTGCTTTCATGTCTTTTGCCGAGCTTAGGGTGCCATTCTGTAGAACGAGGTTCATCTTAGATTTGTTATGTGGAGCGAGCCACCAATCGCTCTTCATTACTGTAGGATTACGGTATGAACTTCCAACACATAGCGTCACTGTGAAGGCCTTTTGATGAAATAATTTCAAAAAAATCTGAGAATTTGTATGGCAAGGTTTTCAGGCGTGCTGATTTCACTACATGACTTTTCATGGATTTTTCGAGCTTTCTTGACGGCGTATTCACATTTCTGATGAGCATGGAAAAACAGTGTCACCTTAAATCTGAAATAACTAATGAAAGAAGCGCTATCCTAAAGCGCAAATTTTATATTTAGACTTAGCGTCTTCGATTAGCCCATTCAAGAGTTTTTGGCTTGTTTGGCTTTCTTTCTAAGGCAAATTACAGGCAAAATACAGCTTTCAATGGCTCAAAAACCTCCTTGAAGTTCTTACCGTAAACTTACAGTATTGAAGAGGATCGGTCATTCGCTCCACACAGCAAATCTAAGTTGAACCTCGTTCTACAGAATGGCACCTTGAGCTCAGCAAAAGACATGAAAGCAGGAGAGTTATTAACCATCAAACAGTGTGCACATCTTTTTGAGACACCCTGTATATGGAACTACATAGGTTGTGTACCTATCTTCTTTCCATCAAAATACCCGTAACTACCATCACATGCAAAATCAAATCTCTTCTCTTTCTGTTTATCTCGAGCAAGTCACTCGAACTCTTGCAAACAGTGAAGCGGCAAGAGCGAATATTTTGGAATTTTTTTTGTGGTAGGTTGTGTTTGCCCTCAAACATGAAATTAGAGCAATTTACTTGCACAGGCCCTGCCGAAAATTTTTCTTCATATTAATGTAGCAAGCCAGCTTTTTGCCAAAGTTGAATCATTCAGCTGATGTTTTCAGCCAAGAGAATATCAAGATGGGGAGATAATAGAAATGCGAATGGTACGTTTCCGATGAGAAAGTTCTTATCGAAGCAAGAACTAAAAGTTGTTTTTAAAATGTCAAGTAGACTTGTGCCGAGCCCTGATTATGACTAATGTCAAAACAAATGCAAAGTTATTGCCTCAGAGAGCTTATCTTTCATGACGCTGTTGGTGACGGTGATCCCTCCAATAGCAACAGTTTTGTGGAGTGTCGGACGAGGATAGTCAAGGTAGGGATTAGAGTTCGTAAATAAATATGATGTTTCAGCGAGTAGTTGCTGTAATATTAGGTTGAATCGAAAGTTCTGTCGCACCAATTTCAAAAATTCATAACTTCTGATTTTTCAAACCGATTTGACTGCTCTTATTTTTGTTTGAAAGAGTAAGTCATGCTCTTTATTAAGACATCTTAGCTGCTTACTAGTGATCATCTGTTGCATCGATAGGAGCGGTAGAAGAAAATTAGTCAAAATTCGAATTTTCTGTGTAGGGTCATAAAAAATCGGAGACTTGCAACAGAAGTCGGAGCAGTCGGTATTGTAGGTTCTTTCACCAGCTCTTTCTAACAGTGCCTCTATGAAAAGTTATGATTTTCGAGCAAGCAATACAGAAGGGCGAATTTGATTTAATTTGGCATTTTTCAGGGAAATCATAACTTTTCATAGAGACGCTCAGTTAGAGCAAACTGCACTGTTAGAAAGAGCTGGTGAAAGAACTTACATACCGAGAGCTCCGATTGTTGCTGCAAGTTTCCGATTTTTTATAACCCTACACAGAAAATTCGAATTTAGACTAATTTTCTTCTATCGCTCCTATCTATGCAAAAGATGATCAATAATAAGCAGCTAAGATGTCATTATAAAGAGCATAACGTAGTCTTTCATATAAAAATAAAATCAGTCAAATCGATTGAAAAATCAGAATTTATGAATTTTTGAAATTGGTGCGACAGCACTTTCGGTTCAACCTAATATTTTCTCGCTATTTCCGTTTCAAATTCTCTCCTTTTGGTTTTTAGTAGTCGAGACATAGTTAAGAAGGTAGAGTTTACTGTAAAATTCCAGATTGTATGATATGACTTCGGCTCAAAACAGGTGCAAAAGCTTCGTATTACCAGTGAGACAGGAGTAGATCGCAGATTGGCTAATGATGATAGGCTTATGTATTCTCTTCTTGTCAACCCTGACCACCAATTCTAGGTTATTTTAGCAAAAAAAAAATCAAAATCCGTGGGAAGATTGACATCTAGATTTCCAAATGTTTACACACTCAATCCCTAGCATATGCAGGGTGTCCCAAAAGTAAGTACACACTTTTTGATCGTTAATAACTCTTTTCCCACTAAGTCTTTTTCTTGGCTTTAAGTACCACTCAGTAAGGGAGCTTAGATGTACAGTATCGAGCGAATTACCGATCGCCCTTCGTTACTGCAGGGTTACGATAGGAATTTGTAAAGAGTTTTGAGCCATTAATGTCTACATATTACCCCAGAATAGATAATCAACGGGCCGCAAACTCTATCGTTAGGCTAAACTGAATCGCTGATTCATCAATATTACCGTAAGCCTTTTTCATGAGTTATGCCTTACAAGCCGCTGTTTTTTGTGATGTTTTTCCACATGTCGGTGAACACTCTTCGCGAATTTCAGATATTTTTTGGAGGTTTTTGATCAAACGGCCTATTTCACAATGCCGCTGTATGCTGGAAGTTCCTACCGTAATCTTACAGTAACAAAAGATGGTGATTCGCTCCATAGTGCAAATCTAAGTTGAAGGCTCCTCTACTGAACGGTGTTTGAAGCTAAGGCTGGGTTCATGCTGATTCCCATGTTCTGGAACTGTTCCCGCACATTTGTCGCAGTGTGCTGGAACTGTGCGGGAACAGTTCCGGAACTGTGCTGCATGCGCTGCAGCCGCCCCGCACCGTTTTGAACAGCGGGAGTTGGAGGATTTTGATCTCATTTTGGCCTTATTCCTCCATCCCGCTTCCCACTTTGATCAGCAGAACTTCGAACTCGAAGCGTGGTTGAAGAATGAGCGCTTTTTGCTCTGTGTATGCGACAAAACGTGTGTTCTTGTGCTCGTCCATTCTCTCTTCGTGATTTTTGCTCAAAATTACTTCATTTGTTCCAGGAAGCCGCTACGTAGTTTCCATCTATCTGCCACAAATTAGAGAGTAGGAGCAATTTCGAAATTGCATGAATTGGGACTTTCTCTTGCTTTTGATGACGTTTTCAGCCCCTTTCGTTTTTCCATATCGTTGCTTCTTCGTTCTTTCTTCTACCCCGTTTCTCCTAGTGATGAGAAAAGCTGTGAATTTGAAGCGGGGTTGGAAATTGAACGCTGTTCTGCTCCATGTGGATAGATAGGCTGTCGTGCGCTTGTCCATTCTCTCTTCGCTATTTTTGTTTAGACCTACTTCATGTGTTCTAGCAGGTCGCTGCGTAGTCTCGCATCTGTATTGAAATTGACCTAGACAAGTCTCTAGAACACATGAAGTAGGCCTGAACAAAAATGGCAGAGAAGATGGAGAGCGCACGAAGGTCCATCTTCCCGGACACATAAAGCAGAACAGCGTCCAGTCCTCAGCCTCGCTTCAAGTTCGCAGCTTTTCTCATTACAAGGAGAAGCGGGGCAGAAGAAAGAACGAAGACGCAACGATATGGAAAAAGGAAAGGGGCTGAAAAAGCCCAAAAACGAAACTCATCAAAAATAATAGGCAAGTCCCAATTTATGCAGTTTCAGAATTGCTCCTACTCCCTAATTCATAGCAGATGGCTATGGAAACCACGCAGGGGCTCCTGGAACAAATGAAATGAGTTTGTGTAAAAATAAAGCGAAGAGAAAATGGACGAGCGCAAGAACACACGTTTTGTTTTGTCACATACGCAGAGCAGAAATGCGTTCGTTCCTCAACCCCGCTTCGATTTCAAAGTTCTGCTGATCAGAAAGGGAAGCGGAGTGAGGGAATAAGGCCAAAATGAGAGAAATCTGAAAGATAAACCGTTGAGAACGGTCAAACCCTCCAACTCCCGCCGTTCAAAACGGTGCGGGGCGGCTGCAGCGCATGCAGCACAGTTCCGGTACTGTTTCCGCACAGTTCCAGCACACTGCGAGAACTGTGCGGGAACAGTTCCAGAACATGGGAATCAGTATGAATCCAGCCTAAGGAAAATACTCAGTGGGAAAGGAGATATTAACGATTAAAAAGTGTATACTTACTTGCGGGACAACCTGCTTAAAACTCGAATTCTTTACATCGGCGAATAGAACTTATACAGGGTGTCCCAAAAAATGTGCCTACTGTTTGATTGTGAATAACTCCCTTGTAATGAAGTGTTTCGAGAAGCTTTAGGTACCATTTTGTAGAGCGAGGTCAAACTTAGATATCCAGTTTGGAGCGAAGCATCTATCGCTCTTCATTACTGTAGGATTACGGTAAGAACTTCCAGCATATGGAATCACTGTGGAATATACCACCTAACAAATTTTTTTTTCAAAAAATCTGAAAAATCGTGTACTAGGGTTTTCGCGCATGCTGATTCCACCTAACAACTTTTTACAAGTGTTTTCAGTTTTTTTGACGGTGTAATTACATTTCTGACAATTGCTAGGAATTGAGTTATTACGATTTGCCGGGGATAACTCAGGGAAAAAGCAACCCAGTTAAGTGAGAATTTCAAATTCGAACTCAGCGGCTACCATTACCGTAGTATAAGAGTTTTTGGCTTGTTTGGTTTTGCTCCGGGGCAGAATATGGCCTCCAATGGCCTAAAATCTTTGTCGAAGTTCGTACCGTAATCCTACAGTAACGAAAGGTGAAAGATGATTAGATCCATACTAGAATCTAAGTTTAACCTCGCTCTACAAAACGGTTTCTAAAGCTTCTCAAAACACTTCATTACAAGAAAGTTATTTACAATCAAACAGTAGGCATATTTTTTGGGACACCCTGTATATGAATGAATCGAACGTCTGTCGTACTATGTCTGCATGCCTGTACATATCTTCCAAAAAAATTTGTTTCTAAACCGATCCACACTAAACTTTGCATACATACATTTCGGGGCTGGGGCGGATGTTGTAGGCTCCTCTTCGTTATCGGTGATACCGATTTTATTAGATACTAGCTTGCTTACCCGGCTCCGCCCGGACCTGTGAAAACACTGTAATAAAGGTCCCATCTCTATCCCTGTACAGCCTTTCTCTGTGCCCACTTCTTCACTTCTTTTCCCGTTCCCTGTTTGTTTTCGAATTCAGCATGCCCACTTACCCCCCTGCGCCAATTCCCAGCCCTGTAGCTTAAACTTTGCAAAAAATCGATAAAACCGATAAAAGTAATGGACGATTTCAAAAACTATTATTGTATTCGTAATCAGCATGCTCGATTACCCCCCCCCTATGCAAACTCCCAGCCCCGCATGTCAAAATTTACGAAAAAGTCGATGAAATCGATAAAAGTAATCGATAATTCTGAAAACTACTACTGTATTCGTAATCAGCATGCTCGATTACCCCCCCCCTGTGCAAATTCCCAGCCCAATAGCTCAAACTTTGCAAAAAATCGACAAAATCGATAAAAGTAATGGACGATTTCAAAAACTATATTGTATTCGTAATCAGCAAGCTCGATTACCCCCTATACAAACTCCCAGCCCCGTAGGTGAACTCTGCAAAAAAATCGATAAAAATCGATAAAAGTAATCGATAATCCTGAAAACTAGTATTGTATTCGTAATCAGCATGCTCGGTTACCCCCTGTGCAAATTCCCAGCCCCATAGCTCAAACTTTGCAAAAAAATCGATAAAAACGATAAAAGTAATCGTTAATCCTGAAAACTAATATTGTATTCGGAATCCCCATGCTCACTTACCCCCCTGTGCCAACCCCCAGCCCCGTAGGGGAACTCTGCAAAAATCGATAAAATCGATAAAAGTAATCGATAATCCTGAAAAGTAATATTGTATTCGGAATCCCCATGCTCACTTACCCCCCCCGTGCCAACTCCCAGCCCCGTAGGTGAACTCTGCAAAAAATCGATAAAAATCGATAAAATCGATATCGATCGATGACGAAAAGTAGCCTATGAAACCCGCCGGGGCCGAAGTGTATGTGTGTCAAGTTTGGACCGGATCGGTTCAGAAATGGAATTTTATTCGGAACATACGTACATACATACATACTTACGTACAGACATACGAACAGACATTCAGCTTTATATATAAGATCTATCGATTTTTTGCATAGTTTGACCCACGGAGCTGGAAGTTGGCACAGGGGCGTGAGTAAGAATGTTGAATACGAATACAATATTCGTCTTTGGAATTACAGCTTACTTTTATCGATTTTATCGATTTCTTTGCAAAGTTTGAGTTACGGAACTAATACAGAGGGGTAAGTGAACTTGCTGATTACGAATGCACTACTAGTTTTTGGAATTAATTGAATACCTTTATCGGTTTCCTCGATTTTGGAGAGGGGTAGAAGCTCAGACAATCGCCGGGGGCAGGCGGGCACCGAAAAAATAGATTGCTGATCTCTCGCACCCCGCTCGCGGATTTTTTGGAAAGCAATCAGGACTTTTCGGAAGACCGCTTGCTGAGTTCTCGATTCCTCAGAGATTCAGCAATATATCTGCAAAAGATAAGAGCGAAAAAAAATTCAACAGGCGGTCTCTCAAAAATCCGCTGACTCAGCAAGCGGTCTTCCGAAAAGTCCTGATTGCTTTGCAGAAAATCCGCGAGCGGGGTGCGAGAAATCAGCAATCTATTTTTCCGGTGCCCGCCTGCCCCCAGCGATTGTCTGAGAGGGTATGCTGATTAGGAAATCCTGACGGGAAGTAAAGTTAGGAACAAGGAAAAAGGAAATGTACAAAAATTGAATGGCAATGCTCATAGTGTAGTGGCAGGGCTGGGCAGAACCGGGTATCCTAGCTAGTATATCATGTTAGGTTGCGAGAAAGTTCCAAAGTTAACAAGACGAAAATATAAGCCGTCACATTACCCTCTGACCGTTTTTTGTCATATTTGTGAGGATAGTCTGAATGAGGCAAAAGATAATATCAGATATCAGCCAAACAAAAATACGACTCATCACGTTCCCAAAGGAAAGACTTTAAATTTAGTTGATGCTCAGGTTGGGCATTCTCAAGGATTGCCCCACCTGAGCAATGTTTAAATGATAAAAAGTAGCCGAATTTCGTTCCAAAGAAATTTGCAGGTTGCTTTCCAAATTATAGTCAGCTCTATTAACAGCCCTAGACTCCTATAGAAAACGGCATGAGGGCTCTTCGGGTCTCATTATGCTTGAGATAAGCGTGTGTAGTTTGTATACTTATATACTTTTTTATATATTTGCAAAAAACTCAGCTTTTTAAAAGGTTTCTGCTTGGAGTTACACCAGTTCAGAAAATTTTCGCGAGTGCCCACACAGGACATTCCTTACAACCTACAAATCAAGACAGTGAATTAACGGCTGAATTGCTGTTTTTCTGTGGAACACAGAATTATTGAAGCAGTCGCCAAGTCGCTGAGCTAGGGTGCAGAATTTCTCTTTCCAGAAAAAAAAAGTCATACAGAAAAGAAGGTATCATAGCTTGTTGGAAATTGTGAAAATTAAAAAGAAATCCAGCACTCCGTAGAGATACCTCGTAAGAGATAACTCATATTCATTATTCGTACCAGCTTTTTTTCCTCGCAATCTCCCCACTTCAAAATTTGCGTGCTTCCGAGAGAATGGCACTTGTTTTGACGCGATGACGTATATCACTTAGCTTGTTGCATGTAGTAAGGGGCTTCTGGCTCTGGGATTCTAAACATCTTGAACTTTTGCTACGACTTCCTCAAGGGTGTCGAACCAGTGACTTCGCCGGAACGAGGCTGGAATGCGGAGAAGCTAGCTGTTAGGCCATCTCCGCTCTTTGTAATTGGCTCGTCTACGCTACGTAATTGCGGCTCAGCAGCAAAATCTTAGCCGTACCAGCAGAACTATAGCAAGTTATTTGTTGTCAAAATGACTAGAAAAGGATGTTCTCCACTTTATGGTTTCGTGCCCATGCGATACGTATCAGTAGCTGAGTTTGCGCTGAATGTTTTTGCTCTTCCCTGCTGAACAAAAAAGCGGAATTCGCAGATTATTTAAAATTAAATGAATTTAATTATTTCGTTCAATCTCATCGACCATCCGCTAAACTGATTTCAGTAAAATTAGAGACATACCTCCCAGTTCTTGAAGTGAGGACCAAACTTCCTTCTAAATGAAGCCATCTCTTTCTCAAAAAGCCTTTTGAATAATATTTGGGTATGAATGAAGTCCACGAAATTGAGAAGTCTTTCTTTCATTGACATGCGGTCCCCTGATCCAGTAAAGCCTCCTGAATGGCACTGAACTTCTTGTAAGGATACATTAACGAATAAAATCTCGGAAAATTTACCAGGCACATAACTTAAAATATTTGGCTCTCCAATTACTTTGGAAAGCACTTCCGAATGAGCTAAGGACCATGCTGCTATGGATGCAGGAATATTCGCAACCTCGAAAATGCCTGGGAACAAAATTAAGTGCCTCAAAGGAGCTTGGAGAGAAGTGTGTACCTAAGCCACATATGCTGGCTGGCTCCGCAATACCGACGTCAAATTTCTCTGCCTTAAGCCGTTGCAGTAGATTCTGATTCTCGATAACTTCTGTTTGTTGAAAAGAGTAACAATTGCAACAATTTTATGATGTTTAGTGGTATACAAGTTTCTTGTGCAAGTATAACAAGCACGTATTTCATCATGTCCGAGAGGGGTAAATCAAGCAAAGATCTTCTGAGTGCGATGATCTAAGTGCCAAAATCCGAGAAACTTCAACGATTGATCATGACACCGTTTATTATTCAGGGACAATGGATTGGTACTGAAACAATCCGTGTTTGAAGCGCTAACATGGGATGTCACTTGGCTTAGTATCGCGTTTCAAGATGAGACACATATATTGGGAATCAGCTTCGGACGCTGATTCCAATTACGCTGTTCGTAGCTGCGGCACATCATTCTAAAGCGAATTATCGACTTTCTTCTGTGCAGAATTTGCATACTCTTTGACTTACTGGCATTACGGTATCATCACTTAACACGTTTCGCGCGAAATCGCTCGCGGCGAAAAAGAAGGTACTTTCAGCCGTTAGCCAACAAAAGGCCTTAATTCTTAGACTGTGTGCTATATCTGTAATCAGCATGTCAGATCGTATCCATACCCAAAGTTCTGAGTGAATTCGAAGTGTTTGAATTTTGTCGCCTGAGAAGGACTTGTGTGCTTTCCTGAAAGATAGGAACAAGAACTCAGTTTCTAATTCTATCCGAAAGCATCTATGTTGTATACAGTACACATCATTACTGAAACCACGGTTTTTCTCTTTGAATTAGGAGCAAAGAAAAGTTGCGACGTCGCACGCGTCGTTCGCGTTGCCGCACTTCGTTGCAACTGTTGTTCGATTTGTCCTCATATCTTCTAAATAAATACCGTCGGCACAGCTCTACAAGGTCATTTGAAAAGGAGGAGCTTAGCCCATTGATTTGATAACCTTGGATAAAAAGAAAACCTCCTGCAAACATTGAAAAGATCCTTGTAAGGCGCGTGCTGCACCGTGTGTAGCACCGGCCCGAAACGTGTTAAGCTAATTGAATGCATAAAGTCTCTTGCCTATTACAAAATACTCAATCTGATATAATTCTAGTATTCCAGCATCGTTTTTAGGCAAATTTCTATCTACAGACAGCCCTACCATATGGAAAAGTATGACAATTTCGCACAGAAAAAAACTTATAACTTCCTTCAGAACAATTCGCCGCAGCTAGGAAGAACAGCATAATTGAAATTAGCGTTTGAAGCTGATTCCGAATATATGTGTCTCATCTTGAAACGTCACTAAGTCACGTGACATCCCTTACAAATACCGGCTGACCGCGCAAGTCACTGTGAAAATTGAAACGTATTCAATGGGCATTTAGCGCATGAGCGTAGACGGTTTTAGAGAATGACATTATCTCTGCATTCCATAGAATTTTCTATTATTATAAGGAATGGCTCGTGTGGCCCGAAAGTTGATTTTCTGATTATAGTTCCACCTACATGTTCCAAACATGCGCTTGCGTATTTCACGTAGATTCATCGCAGACTAGCAATGTCTATTTAAGAATCTTCACGACAATACGATCCAATGCTGGGTCACATTTTCGTGAATGTGCTAGAATATTTTTTCCAGTATCTCGAGGTTTTTGGGGTAGCTTTTGACCAAAACTGCTTTGAACTTGCGTAAGGCCGACTTTAAATCCGCCTTTCATTCGAATGCGAAATACCTAAGCTTTCTGCTTATTTGAATAGTTTTGCACTGTTGGCGAAGGGCGCATTGAAACTCACTTTCACACTGACAACTGTATGCGTCAATAATGTGCTGGAAAACCTGTAAGAGCAGAGGAACTGCAGTTTGTGAGCTAGAAGGAGTATAAACTTTCAAACCTTAGACGACCCCCACAAGCTAGGTTGCATTGTCCATGCATTACCAAAAGTCTCCTTCCTATGCTTGTAGTATTCAGCTACACGAGGATGAGCGGGAACTTTGATAATATTTTTTGTAATCTTTACACCCGTTCTGTGCTCTTCTTCAGTGTCCATGACCGGCATTAGCATTGTCTGGAGCACTTAGCTTTAGGCATTTAAGCTTCTTTTAGATCTACATATGAAAATCTATGGCAAGAGGAAACATTTATTTTTAGGGCTAAATATAACTTGAAAGGCTCATCAGACTCACCACATTATGGCCAGCTTCCGTGAGCGTATCCGCTATAGCACCCAAAAACTTTGTGTGCGAATGACCAAGGAATGGGGAGTAGACGAAGAATTTGTAGCTATTACTAGCTAGCAAAAGATGCGATAAAAGCAACAAAATGGAAAACATGAAAGCCATGACAAGGTAAAAACTGCAAATAACAAGTGAGTAGCGTAGCTGCGAAGAATTTGTGATGTTTTTCGATTCTTCTTATTTTACGATGTACGTGCTCAAACGAGCAAAGGAAAAGCAACTTAGAGCAAAGTACTCTTACAACTAGTGGTCAAGTTTATTGGATTTTGGCTGCATTAGAGCCAAGAGATTGAGGATGAGTCAAAGGATATTAAAATTATTCGAAATTATAGGTCAAGGTGAGCGCACTGCTAAATATGATTTGTGTTCTTCTCCTTTGAGAATATCAATTTGTCATTTTTTTAGATTAATGCGTCTTACTATTAGGTTGTAAAAAAAGTTCCCGGGCAGTTTTAGTGATTTCATTTTCAGCTCATTCTTTTCCGCATCGGGTAATCTTAATAACAAGTAACATAGATCTGCAGAAGAAAGCCTAAGCTTACCAGAGCCGCATCTCGTTTTTATCGATGTTCAACCGTATTCGTCATACACACAAAAATAGGAAGTCTGTACAACATTGAAAATTTCACAATTTTTCTCTTTTCTGCCATTTTTTCGCAGTGAACCAAGAGAACCATTTGAGAGTTGGTCATTCTGGATAAGGAGGCTGTCTATTTTGAAACCGCAGCTGTGCTTGGATCTTACAGTAGCGTACGCACGCAAAAAAATAAAGAATTACAAACTCTCAAACTTGCCTTCGACCGCACTTATTTTCTCAAATGGAGCCGATTTTGAGAAACGTCACGCCTCGGCGATGGGCCCAAAAGATGTGCAAGACATTACCCCAACAATATTTGCAGCAACCAAAGATCTGGTTGCTTCCATGGAGAAAAAGGAGACTTTAAACTCATTTACTCAAAAAATGGGATATTTTTGGGTGCAAAAATGGACAATTTTTTAATTTTTTCGAAGAGTTTTTATTGCAGGTTGTGCTCTAAATTTGTGATACACTCTTCAAACAATTCCAGCAGAGTTCTACAGAACTACCAAATATGAGCTCTTCAGCTCTCTTCGTGCCAGAGATATTCCTTCACTAACAGGCAGAATTTTAAGTCGACAGTACATTAACAGTTGGTTGTCTTTGTTTCGCAAAGCCTTGAGCGTATATGAAAGAAATGAAATGAAAGTAAGGTCTCGTATTTGCTTACTCAAGAAACCACAGTCAGCCAGACATGGCGTTACTTCATCTCCTCCTTGCTTCAAAACTGATGCGACCTAGAAAAACGAAGCTCTATGCGCCTTCTCGTTCGTCGTTCAGAAAAACGTATACGTTTTCACGCTTCAAACCATGATCTAAAAGAATGAAACTCAACTTGCTCCTTTATCTGTTTTCACAGCGTGCAATTTCAAGATCTTTGCCAATCACATAAAAATCCAATCGCCAATTACATATCATCCAAAAACGCTTCAAGCAAAACCAGCGCCATTTCACTCATAACGTTTGAAACTTGACACGTTTGACACCCGTTTTTAGTGAAGTAGATCAAGAAATCTAGTAAATGTATGTTCATTCATATCGTGTGTTATGTATTTTTTACAAATGTCTTGATTGGGTTTAAAACTCAAGTTTGAGGAAATCGCCAATAAAACATTGCTCGTCAACTCGTGGAATGTGGGTGTATCTGAGTTAGTCTCTGGCCACTGAACTACCAAAGCAACAAAGTTTGCAGCCTCAAAAAGGATCGGTTATAGCTTCTTGAAGTTACAGCAGTTTGAAGAATAATTCCGCAAGTGCCCGGGAACTTTCTTTACAACCTAATATCTGAAGAACAAAAGCCATATTGAAATGAAAGACAAGAAGTAGCGAACTTCTTTTTAGTCCCTGTTAAGCAATTCTAAACTAGTCTCAGAAAATATCCCAGAAAGCAAGTCGACTGAAAAGCGCTTCAGACTTGCCTGGACCTTTATTTGAGATCATTGATCTTCCACAAAACAAGTCCTTTGATCATTAAAAAACCAACTGATGAAACGAAGAAAGAAGATGAAATTTTGCAAAAAGATCAAGCGCAAAGTACCAATCAAGAAAAATTTGAGACAATGTATATATGGCGACTTACAACTGCTAATTGGCTGATTGTCATTTCTACCATTATCATGTTTTTGCTGTAAATATTGAAATATGCAGTAAAAATGGCATGCACGCCAGACTACAGTTGTAAAAGACACAAAATACATAGCACAAAATGTCTGCATGACATTCGACAGCCAAAAAGGGAGTAGGACCAGGCACGAGGGTGGCGGTTAAGCTGAGATTTTTATTGGGAGAAAACAGACACTATATTGTCATTATGCCTCCATATGTACTACGTACTCTTCAACAAGTTGCTATACGGGACGTGCAAAAACACGATTCTCATCATCTATGAATCTAATTTCCTTCCATTGTGTATTAATCAACTACCTCTTTTGCGGAGCTCATGCAATGATGTGTCTCCAAGTTTGGTGTATAAATGAACAAGGGCTAATAGAAGCATAGTGTAGAGTATTGTAAAAAACTGGATGCTGTGGGAAGCTTCTTTCCGGAAATCTTCCGTAAGTGAAAAGTGGGAAAGGCCTCTTTGGCTAGAGCTGGCGTGCATATGCGCAGTAAGGAGCTAGAACAAAGGGTGAAAAATTATGAAAAACTTATGTAAATAGAAAGCGTGCCCAACCTTTTTCAAATCAGGAGGGAGCATGCCCACCTAAAGCCACCGTTAGGTAGGTCAAGCTTCCAGTTCACACAAGTTTTTCAAAACTTCCA